GGGGAGGGGGGTGTTCCCGATGATAGTTGGGTTGCGTTTTTGTTTTGTAGTAGCCGCGGGGGTGTTGTATATTTGTAGCACAGATGGGTGCTACCTCATATCAAGACCACAAAAATATAGAGATAAGACAACTATTGGAGCATTATTATTTTTGTCCACCTGAAAAGCAAATATTTTGTGCAGGTGCCTTTTTTTTTGTAGTTCTTTGTGACTTCGCTAGTGATGGTTGTACCACTGGTTGTGCAATGGAGTTTGGAATCGGTCCTAAACTACAGGATGTTTTATAATCTCATGGAAACGAAATTGGGAGCTCAATGAGCTCCTTCAATCGGAAAAATAAGTGTGCACCCTAGAGGGCGGCCACTACTCTGTATTCAACGGAATTTTCTCAAACCTCCGCCGATGGTTCTAAATTACGGTTAGTGTAACCTTAGTTCAAACTGCGACACTTATTATGGATCGGACTTGATAGTTTTAACCAACGGAGTCCTCCCAAATCTTCTTCTAGGATGTTAGCGGTCTGATTAGCCACAGCCTCACTTTGTAGTTCAGGTGCGCCTAAAAGCTTTGTTTCTCTGGGTTGACATTCATTTTTGACTCTTCTTTTTTTGGGTTTGAATTAGCAGCCAAAACCCTAGTGAATTGATCTCCTTGGACAAGTAACTCAATTAGGTATATAATTTTTTTGCGAGGGAATTAGGCATGTAAATGGCAAATAAACGACATCTGCAAGTTCGTTTAGTTAGTTATAGCTAGCTGGATAGTTCATTTTACCTGAGAAAAAAACTTTATTGAACTGTTAGATCATAAGTGGGTTTACATCTCTAAACTCAATTATGTATCAGATTAACCTAACCATTCTGCATTTTTGGGCGTTGTACTTCATCCGGCACGTAAGGATCAAGAATAATAACTCTAGTTGAAAAACAAAGAAAGAGTAAAGTAGTACACAAAGAAGAAACGTACGAAAGAGAACAGTTGCAACTTGCAAGTGCCAACAAGATGGTTAGGTGGCCTCAGTTTGGGAAATTAATAATTGTAAAAAAGGGAAAGACGGTTGGTACGAGCATTGATCAATGATTGAAGTTCATCATGTGGAATGCCCATATACGCTTTCTCTCTGAAGATGAGATTCCTAAACATAGTTCAGTTTGCAATTGATTCTCAGTTACCACCAGACGAAACAGCGCACATAAGAGTTGGAGCTATACATTCCTGATAAAATATCAAATCATCAACTAAACTGCCCGATGGACATCATACTTTGCCTCCCTGCGCCCCTAGAAGCTAAGCCATCAGGAAGCCTGAAGATGAACGCGACAGTGACTGGGCATTCCTCTCGATCCTCCACGACCACGATACCTAACTGTTGAGCGACGAGGAGGAAGCAGCTAGCGGCGTCCTGTGGTCAGCCGAGGAAGACGTGGACGTTGACGGCGAGGATGAGGATGGCGATGAGGGCGAAGTAGATGACGGCGTGGACGAGGATGGAGATGCCGCTTGTCTGGAAGTTGCCGAACTCCACCATCCTGCCCTTGCCGGGGATCTGGAAGAGCAGCCCCGGCGAGAGGAGGATGAAGAGCACCAGCCCGATGAACACCGGCGCCCAGTCCGCCATGCCCCCTTAGCTCCTTGCTACAGGACTCGCTGATTGACCTCTCCCCCCACGGCCGCAGCTGGGCTCACCCTCTGGTTCCTTCACCACCTGCTCTGCGATTGTGGACAGTGGAAGGAGTGTGATGAGTGAGGCCACGAGGAGGTGGGAGTGTGACTGTATATATGGGCCATGAGCCGCCTGGTGGGCACGGGATCCCAAACCGACGCACACGGTCACCACCCGCGCGCCATGCCTTTCCACACGCTCGTGACGTGCGCTCGTCCGCACATGCCGTCCTCTAGCTCGCTCGTTCGGGGAAAAGGCGGGGTGGTTTGCATGGGCGGATCAACGGAGTCGACGGTGGTGGTGGTGGACTGGTGGTTGCCGTGTCCATTTCGGAGCGGGGCTGGAGGTCGATTTGGTGAAGCTAGACGACACTGCTCGGCGTCGTCCTTGATTGCCCTGTCCCCGCATGATTTGTTAGGCGCGCACATGCATGCATGCGTGCTCATCCTTGTGGTCTTCTCGAGGGTAGATATTGGACAAAAGCGATGATCGTTGTGGGCTTGGGGTGTCATGCAAACAGAACATCGTGGTGCGTGTGCGCGCCGCTCGTGGTGGTCTGCGCCATGCCAGAATCTGCCAAGCCCCCGAGTGCGATCGAGTGGTGCCGTATGGGGATTATGCATGGGGCCGGACGTGGAGCTTGGTTGGAGCTCGCTTTTTCCGGGCGTCGTTTGTACTTTCTATATTTTACTTCAAGGTATGGGTTACGTTATTACAAAAAAGTGTCCAGGGGATTAACATGCTGACTCGATGCTAACCACCTAAGCTACTTTGCATAGCCGGCCTTCCAACCTTGGGAATGTTAGGTGCGCCGTCGTATGCAGCTACCCCACGCAGAAAGATAACCATATTCTCAATAAAGTGGTTAAAACTTAAAAGTGGAAGGAAGGGATACAATGGGCTGGGCCACAAATGAAAGTGTGAATGGACTTTTAGGTGCTATATGGATAGTTTTCCTTTTCAAACAGGGAGGGTATAGTTCTCGGGGATTAGATTATGTCTCAAACATTTTTCGCTTGAGCTATATGTCAGGCGACTGAATTTTCACTTTCGAGCAGTCAAATTTGTAGCCCTTGATTCAAGGTGCTTTGCGATACATGTGTTGAAGCTCACCAAGGATTTGACTGATCTGTTTATTTGTTCAGTCGATTTCATCTTTTCTTGCTGACTGCACGATGCAATCATGCAACCTCTTCATGCGAGCATGTCTCCAGCTCACGACTCTTGCATGTACATGCATGGATGGAGTGCATGTCAATTTTAGTTTTTCTTCCTTGTGTTTTACTTCTGGTTCATTTTTTATTTTTTTAGGTCAGGTTTTTTCTTTTCTTTACGTGTATCTTTGGATGTTGAGTGTGTGTAAATATGTAGGCACCAGTACTATACAAATATGACCACAAATTATACTACAGTGTGGAAGCAGTGTCACTGTGTTTATTCTTACATATTATAAAAAGCACTTTTTGTGTAAATTGTGTGGAAGTTTTTGTTTAAATTTTTTCCAGGTAATACCAAGGTTTACTAATTCATTATTTCTAATAAAATGTCATTTAATATTATTAATTTTGTGTGTAAGTATGCACACATGTACTAAAACAATTTATGTGTAAATTATACTAGATTCTGAAATTGCACTATTATATGTGTATTCCTTGCATATTACAAAAAGTGCAATGTTGCCTGCAAGTTTTTTTTTGAAGGAGAGCCTTGGCGCAGTGGTAAAAGTTGTTGCCTTGTGAGTTGTGACCATGGGGTCACGGGTTCAAGTCCTAGAAACAGCCTCTTATAGAAATGTAGGAAAAGGTTGTGTGTACAATAGACCCAAAGTGGTCGGACCCTTCCCCAGACCATGCGCAAGCGGGAGCTACATGCACCGGGTTGCCCCCTTTTATTTGCCTGCAAGTTTTTCGTTGTTTTCTTAGTTCTTACAGGGTAATGCCAATGCCAATAAATCATTTTTCCTTAGAAACTTTTTATTTTATTTTAGTTTTTTTTTCATTTTCTACCTTCTTGAAGGGTAATACCAATCTCACTAGTTCACCATATATTTAGAAACTGGAATTTTCATAGAAATACACGATGAACATGTTTTTAATCTCATATTAAATATTTTTCATAAATGTCATTAACTTGTTCTAAAACATGTCAACAATTCTTTAAGTCTTGCGAAATTTTTTGAAAATGCTATGAACAGTTTCTAAATATGCGAGGAATTTTTTTAATACACTTATATCATTTTTTAAACATGAAACATTTTTCTAAAACACATGTCCAGGTGTGTGACGTAAATGTGCTAATTACGTGCTCACATTCAAATTTTAGCTCGGCTGGGGAACCACTAACAGCGCTACAAAAGAGAAAAAAACAAACCTACCATAGCGTAGTGGCCGACCCAAGCTGGAACAGTTGCAAGAGAGGTGAACGTCCACAATTGATATGTATCGCTTGCTGCGAGCGTTTACGCAGCTATCGCCTACAGAAGACAGGTGTATAAACGGCCGGCCAGTAGGTACTCAGGTTTTCGGAAGCTTTCATTTGTTTTTGAAGCTTTTCTAATTTTTTTTATTTTTTTGCTTGGCAACTTTTCCTCTTTTGTATTCCGTTTTCTTCCCTTTTCGGTTTTATATTTTGGATTTTTCTATATTTTTAGTTTTTTCACTTTTCTTACACATGGTGAACATTTTCTTAATACACACTGAGTACTTTTAATTATACAGTCAGCTTTTTTCATATATGAAGAATTGTTTTTAATATATGATGAACCTTTTCAGTATACGATGAACTTTTCTAATATACAGTGAAAATTTTCTAAATATATGATTAACATTTTTTAACACAAACTATTTTTTTACTAATCCACCAACAATTTTGAGATTTGCAAAATTTAACTAAAAGAACTTTTAAAATGCATGCACTTTTCTCATATTGTTGAATTGTTTTAAAATTTCATGAACTTTTTTCAGATTGACAAAACATTTTCTTAAATTATAGTCATTTTTAAACATAAATTATTTTTTATCTGCATTAACTTTTTCGAAACTAAAATAACTGACTGACATACTTTTTCCCATGATGCAACACTAAAAAGCGAGTCCCATAAAAAGCATTGAACAGCAAGAGGAAAAAAAAGGAAACAAGCCCGCAACGACAACACGCCGGGAGCTTCCCTAATTGGGCTAGAGTTTCCAAATTTGGTCAATGGGCCATGTCTGAGTGGTGAGGCAGATATTTAGCAGGTGGGTTACTTTTGTTCTGGAGCTCTGCTATACCTCACTTCTAGCGGACGCATCAACTGCGCCGCCTGCAACACTATCACATGGGCTGGCACATAAACTCGGCCCTCACGTGGCCATGTTAACATGTTTTAATTTTTCTCATGTCGTTAAAAAATCTCCCTCGTGTTCAAGTTTATTCGTCTTTCTTTACTTTTAGAAATATACTTCAAATGAAGTATATATTTAGAAATGAATTTTTATAATACTACATCGGTCCCAAAAGTTCGTCCCGTGTTGGAGAAATGGTCATTGTGTATTTCAAGAAAGTTCAGTGTGTTAATAATGTAATGTTAATACTGTAATTTTAAAATATAGTTCATTGAGTATGTAAAAATACTCATAATTTCTTTGGTAATGTTAATACTGTAATTTTAAAATCCTCATTGAGTATTTGAAAGCACACAATAAAAAATTCTGTAAAAGGGCTACATATTTTCTTAATATACAATCAACCTTTTTAAAGAACATGTTGAGCATTTTTAATGCATCGGTGAATATTTTTAATACAATGTGGGCCTATATTCGATACAAGATGAACATTTTGGAAAAATTGTATGGACATTTTCCTTATATATGATGAACAAAAAAACCCAAAAGAAAGATTAAAGTGAATTGAAAAAATAATTAAGAAAAATAATATAAAACAAAACAAAAAGTAGAAAGGAGAAAAGAATAGAATACAGAAATTAGAAAAACGAAATATAAAGGAAAGGTGAAGTATTTTTTAAAATACACAGGAAAAGAAAAAGAGAAAAAAATACGGACACGCCGACATATTTCATAGAACAAAAGAGATCACATGTATGTAAAAAAATATGACATCACATGTACGTACAGAACAGATGAGCGCACATGTATGTATAAAACAGATGACAACACATGTACGTACAGAACAGACCATAGCGCAACGTATGTATTAAAACTTGTCTGGGCCAGAGCCCACGAATAACCACTGTAGGCAATCCCCTATGTGCTGATCAGTAACAAAAATCCAACTGTGATCTTCAGCTCGTATGCTCCACCTATGAATAGTAAACTAGATCCGCTAAAAAAATGAATAGTAAGCTAGAAGATACCTCGCAGCATCCTGCGGAGTTGGTTGCAATATATTATTTTGATGGGATCCGGTTGTCTGCAATTTGAATATGAGAATGAAGACTAAAACTACATATGATTTATTCTATTTGAGTATTATATATTTCTAAAATATTTGTAGAATATAAGAAGTATTTCTCATGTATGGTGTGAGAAATAAAAGCAATGGGTTGATGAAGTGAGATGTGTGCATGTGGAGATAAATAATATAAGTAACATTTTCGATGCATGTTAAGAGATGAGGTGGCATGTTTGCATGTTAGGATAAATAGAAGTATTGGTTATTTAAGTAATATCTCCCATGCATGTTAAGAGAATTAAAGTAGTGGATGAGGAGGTGACATGTGGGATGATGTGCATTATGTGCATGTTGAGATAAATAGAAATAATGGGGATCAAGTAGCTAAGTGTATAGGATTCTAATAAAATACCACCACATTAAAAGAACTAGAATTTTTACATATCAAAGATGTAAGACTCTTCTAGGCATTTTTAATTTTCGCAATGAGATGACATCCAAGTAGCTCACTAAAAACAAAGTTAAAGCTCGAACTTTGTCACAGCTTTGGATATATATGAGCTTAT